GTCAAAAACAACACAAAGACCTGAGGGATGGGTAATAGACCAGAGAATAATTGGCACTGTCTGCATTAGCAGAGAAGGGAAGGAGTTCACTGACTTAGTGGGTCATACCCCGTGTATAAACACACTCACGGTGAATTCTGACACTAAATCAAAGACCTGGCAACCTGAACCACCCGCGGGCTATTGGAGTAGCACCCGGGGAAATCATTGCGAATGGGTTGAATTAATTAAATTATGCTGGTACAAAAACTCCGGGGCCAATCCCTTCCATGCACTAGAAGGCCTAAGAGAATATTGGAATGATCCTGCAAAAACGAACATAGGTTGGGAAGCTCCCGACAGCATCAACTGGATATCTGGGAAGAAAGCATATAGCGAGCTCCCCAGGAAATGGAAGGGGTCCTGCACCCTAGGAATAATCAGGCCCTTTTTCTTCACCTTACCTAGAACAGAAAGCAAATTGCTAGGAGCTCCCCTCTTTGAGACATTGAATAGACATAAAAGGGAATTAAAACGAGAATTACCAATGGCTGGAGGCAGTCAAAAATGGGGAGAAGAAGAGTGGCCTGCTGAAAGAATCATTAAGTATTATGGGCCCGCCACTTGGGCAAATGATGGCAGCTGGGGTTATAGAACACCTATTTACCTCCTCAACAGGCTTATTAGGTTGCAAGCAGTGGTGGAAGTAGTCTCCAACCACACCTCAGAAGCCTTAGAACTTCTGGCAAAACAACACTCGCAAATGAGGGCTTTTGTATATCAAAACAGATTAGCCCTCGACTACTTGTTAGCCGAGGAAGGAGGAGTGTGTGGTAAGTACAATGAATCAGAATGTTGTATGGAGATAGATGACTATGGGGAGACAATAAGGGGATTAGCCGCTGAAATAAAGAAAGTGGCACATGTGCCAGTCCAAAAGTGGAATTCTATTCTACAAGCCTCTTGGTGAGACCAAATATTTGGACAGGGAGCTTGGTGGAAAAAGTTGGTGTTCTTCATAACTTGTTCAATTGCAGGAATCATCTTCCTCCCATGCCTGATTCCCTGTTTCATCAGGTTAATTCATTCCGTTGTTCAAGGGATGCAGATCGCTGCCCTCCCAATTGATCCAGAAAATGCCCAAGGGAAGCCTACTCCTTTCTCTCAAATATCTAAACTAATGAAGTTAGAAGAGAAAAGAGAAAACGGGAAGGCAGTTGAAGCCCTAAAGAAATTTGAAAATAGAAATAAAAAGGATAACCCTTTTCAAGGGTACTGTGAGGATTCTCTAAAAGACTGGGAGGAGGACGAATGTTGTTAAAAGTCCCCAGTCCTCCCCATTGGAAATAAAAATAAATGAGATAACACGAATTTTTAATGTGATAAATTATTAGGCGGGGGACTGTGATAAATGTGGCATTGGATAAAAATTCGTGAAGGAGAATAAAGAAATATATGTTATATTTATAATAATGTAAAGATATAAATTGTAGTATGATCTAAAGATTCCTTCCCGAGTCAGGCGGTAACGATCCACAGCGACGCTTATCAGCCCGAGATAAAGAGCAGGACACAGACAATCAAGCCAGACAATGAGAGTAGCCCCGGCTGAGATATCCATCTGCTTCGCACCCAACCTGGACACTCCACCCCGGGAGTCCAACCAAAAGATGCAATCAGAAGGCACCCAGAACCATTCGCATGTGAAAGGACTCTGCCCAGTTGACTATTGACTCAGCTCGAAGAATCCGGGAAATCTATTCAACCGCACATCTAGACTCTTTGTTGGACTGTACCCACTCCGGGTTTTGCCTCAGGATACGAAAATCCTTATAAAAACCCCGGACTGCAATCCCTCCTTCGTGGATTTGGGAAAATCTGTACCTCTGGGTGCAGACCCCTGTCCACCCGGCGCTGCGCTGATTTATTTTATTGTGGTTTTTTATTCTCCTTGCTTATGATTGAAATTGTTTTATAATAAATTGCTTTTTATATTAACCTTATTTTGCTATTGCATTTATAACACCGGTTTTGGGGAGTCCCAGGGATGGGGGAAGTCCCGGTTTTGGGGAGGTCCTGATTTTTGGACTCCCGGTTTTGGGGGGGCATGGGTGTGTCCCGGGACAGAAGGGGCCCAGTTTTGGGGTGTCCTGATTTTGGGGTATTGCGATTTTCAGGGTACCAATTTTGAAAGATTCTCATTTGGATTTTTTTTTTTGGGGGGGGTCCCAGTTTTGGGAGGTCCCAGGGACAGGAGAGCCCCGGTTTTGGGGGGTTCTGGGGACAGAGCCCCAAGTTTGGAGAATCCCAACTTTGGGCAGGTCCAGATTTTGGGGAATCTCAGTTTTGGGATTTCCTGCTTTTGGGGTGTCTGATTTTGGCAGATTCCTGTTTTTAGGGGATCCCAGTTTCAGAGGGTCTCAGGCTCAGGAGGATCCCAATTTTGGGGATTCTCGAATTTGAAGGATCCCAATTTTGAAGGATCCCGATTTTGTGGGCTTTGAAGGTGGTGGGGGGGTTCCCGGTTTTGGAGGATCCTGATTTGGAGTGATTCTGCTTTTGGGGGGGTTCCAGGCTTGGGGATCCCAGTCTTGGGAGAACCTAGTCTTGGGGGAATCCCGGTATGGAGGGGGGGGGGGGTCTGATTTTGGGGTTCCCAATTTTAGAAAGATCCCAATTTTAAGGAATCCCATTATTGGGACATCCTAATTTTGAGGTTTCCCAGTTATGGGGTTTCGCAATTTTAGTGAATCCCGTTTTTAGAGGGCATCCCAATTTAGAGGAGATCCCAAATATGGATTCTATAAATGAAATTAGAATTTTCACTACTAGGTCCTTTGGGTTAATGGCACTTTCATTAAAAATGAATACAATTTAATAAATTGAATAGTAATTTGGTATAAAAGAATACAGTTTAGTAAAAGAATATAATTTAGCAAAAAAATTTACAATTTATATATATAATCTGCCAGTAATTAAGTAATTAAGTAATTAAGTATGATCAAAGCATAAGCAAAACCGACTGGAGTACGGGGAGGGCTTCTCACCCCACCTTGCGTACAAAACAAAGCACTTCAAGCTAAACTTATATACTGTATGCTTATACATATTCATTAACGTTTCCCATAAGTTTCCTCCTATTTCCGATTTTTCTGACTTTACCTCACTTTTCTTTTCAGTGCATGCCTCACTTGTTGTTAGGGGGTCTTCAGTCTTCTTTTGGTGGTCTTTTGGCAAAGGATTCTCCTCTTCCTCGTTGTCCTTTGGATAACCTTACAGGTTTGCTCGTGTGTACTAAGTGTTATGTTATGTTAGTCTGCTAATTAGTCTTATATTTTCTAATCTTTAGGCCCAATGACTAGATTCATTCTAATTTTGGTCCATCTCAAGGCCGTTTTGGTCTTGAGATGCCATTTATCTTCTGAACTACATCCTGTACCTTAATTTTGATATGTAACATCTGCGAAGGGTTTATAACACTGATTCTTGATTGTTTCTAATAATAACTTTACTAACAGTTACAATTTAGTTAGCACAAATCAATTCCATTTATTACAATGGTCACTGTACCCCAGGCAGCCTCTGACCACCACATTCCCCAGCAGCCCTTCTCTGTTTGTGAACAGCAGGAGACACAGCTTTCCTTGGCAGTGGGAAGAGAAGGAAACTTCCCCAAAGTGCAGCTTGGCAGCTTCAGCCTGGAGGTGAGGAGAAAGAGAAGTCCCTGCCAGGGGAGAATTTTGGTGCACGAGGTGTCCCAGCGTGAGACTGGACCATGCCATGGCTGTGTGTGCCAGGAGCCGGCAGTCAGTGGGGCCCAGGGATGCTCCAAGGGACTTGGAGTTTTGCTTCTGACTCCTTGAGCAGCTCCTTCAACCTTCTCTCAGTGCCTGAGAGTCCTGGACTCAGCCCCAAATCTACCCTGAGGTTCATTAAAATACAGAAAGCTTCGGGGGCTCTTTCTCTTCCTTCCATTGTCTTCAAGTCCAAGGCTTGTGCAGCTGCTTGGAGTCAGTTTGGAGTTCTGTTAAGGAGGAAGATTTGAAAATGCACCACACTTTTTTTTTTTTTTTAAATCAAGGGTGTATTTTTTTGTCTTCTAGTTGCGAGAAGAGTTGACAGAAGCATTCCCCAAGTGATCTTGATGTTGAATATCTCCTTAGGAGGTCTGGTCATGGAGAATAATGAGCCCCTTGCGGGCTGCCCGTTTGGACAGCCTGCTCCTCACCCCGAGCCTCACCATGTCGCCCACCTGGGACTGACATCCCAAAACATTGAAAACATTTATCAATTTTTCTTTATAATTGATATCTAATAGATTAATAACAATAAAATTTTACTTTTTCAAATAATACTATTCTGTATTTTTATGACCTAGTTTTTATATTTATATAAAAGAATTGATACATTTTTAGCAACTAAAAGCATTATCGGTCTTTGGTTCTAAGTAACAAAATTCTCTTCATTAATTGACCACTATTTCTCCCGTTTTATGCTAATTTGTCCTATTTTCAGTCCTTTGATCATCTTTTTTTATCATTTTCTCAGACAGGGTAAAAAAGGCCACTTTGGGGTCCATGGAGACTTTTCTGGGGAACATTTGGGGCAGTTTTGGGTCTGGGGAGGGAATTTAGAGAGAACTTGGGGGTCTGGAGGACACTTGGGGGAGCCAGGTACGCACTTGGAGGGGCACTTAGGGATTCTGTGGGACAATTCGGGGTCCGGGGGAGCACCTGGGGTTCCAGGGGGGAACCTGGAGGTCAGGGAGGGGAATCTGGGGGCCCTTCGGGTTCCGGGCGGGCACTTGCGGGGCTGTAAAGGGGCTCTCTGGGGCGCGAAGGATGATGGGAGTTGTAGGCGCCGGTAAAATGAGGTTTAATGGAGCCGCGAAGCATCACGGGAGTTGTAGACACAGCTCCAATGAGTTCCGGTGGTGCGCGGGGCATGACGGGGGATGAAGTCCCGGCTGGAATAGCGCTCTATGGGTGCCGCGGAGCATGATGGGAGCTGTAGTCCCGGAAGTGGCTCGGAAGGGGCAGTTCGCGGTGCGGAGAGGCACTTGGGGGAACACTTTTGCGTCCGAGCCGTGGCTGCAGGTCCTCGGGGCAAATGTATACGGCTCGGGAGTACTTGGGGGGAACCTGGGGAGCTCTAACCAGGCTCTTTGGGGCGCGGGGCACGGCAGGAGGTTTGGGCGCGGAACTGAGTTGTGAGGAGTTCCAATAGCGCAGGGGATGACAGGAGATGAATTCCCAGCAGTGGCTGGAAGGGGCATCTGTTGGGTCGGGAGCACTCAGGGACGCTTTGGGGGGTCCCGAAGGGGCGCTGTGGCGGCACTCGGGGATCCTGGAGGGTTTGGGGGACACTTACGAGACATACGGGGGGCGATACTGGAGTTCTGGGGAGCACAGGGCATATTGCCAGTCCCTCCCAGTTCCTTCCAGCATGATCCCATTTGCTCTCAACCGCACCCAGTCAGCCTCAGTATAGCAGGACTCACTGCCAGTATGATCCCAGTCTCTCTCAGTGTGATTGCAGTCTCTCCTGCCATGGGCCCAGCTGCTCCCAGTATGATCCCAGTATTATGTCAGTACTCCCCCAGGACAATCCGAGCCACTGCCAGGATGATCCCAGTATGATCCCATTACAAACCAGTCCCTGCCAGTGCTGCCACTCCTGGGATCCCCCAGCTCTCTCTACGTTCCCCCTCCCAGATCTTCCCAGAGGAGCCCCAAGGGCTGGGAATCCTCAGCCATGGTCCCCAGTCAGTCCCAGTTTGGATCTGCTGCCCCCAGTTTTCCCAGTTTCCCTCTCCTTTTCCATGGGTTGGGTTCCCCTCACCCCCAGCAGGTGGGAGCAGCTGAGAGCCCCGTGCTGCCCATCCCGACCTGTTCTGGTTCCATCCCTGCTCCTGCTGTGGACTGTGAGGGGTTCGGGAATGGGGCACTGAGGGTGTCGCTGCTCCTGGGGGAGGAGGAGGAGGGACGGAAGAGGAGGGATGAAGAAGGAGAGTGAGAAGGGATGGAAGTAGGAGAAGGAGGTGGGGATAGGGAGGAACAGGAGGAGGGATGGAAGATTAGGAGTGGGAGGAAGAGGAAGAGGAAGAGGAAGAGGAGGGACAAAGGAGGATCAGGAAAAGGAGAAGGAAGCATGAGGTTGAGCACTCCCTGAATTCACAGCCCCTCATCTGTGGGATCATCACCCCCCCATCCCATAGGTGACTCCCATAGGGGAGGGGGAGCTCAGCCCAGATATCCTTGGGAGTCCCTGGGTTAGAATTTTTGGGGGGATGCTTGGGGAATGAAGACCTTCAAAGCTGAGTGAAAAATGCCCCTTGGGTGGACATGGGGGGGTCGCAGCATCCTTATGTGGGGAGATGGAAACAGGGGAACTTTCCAGATTCTTGGGACTCCCAGAAGCCTGGGGAGGGCAGGGACCGAGCAGACGGGGGACCCCCAGTACAAGCATCACCCCCAGCAGCTGGGACAGGGGGGAACTCCTGAACACCAAAGGGGAGAGACCAGAGACAGGGAATACCTGGGAGGTATTTTCAGGGCTGCATCTTGGTGTTTGGGAGGTTTTTATGGACCTCTGATGCCCAGTGAATTCTGGAGATGGACTTGGGCAGGATGAGCCCCCTAACCCAGTGTACTCATGGAATTGTATTTTCCCCAAACCAGGATTTCCCATTCTCAGACCTTGGCCGGATGGAGGCGGAGGCTGCGTGGAAGAGGAAGATGCCCCAGGACACCCAGGCAGGTGAGGAGGAAGTCAGTGCCCCTTTCCCCCTCTCTCCTGCTCCATCTCCCAGCCCAGCATGACCCCCGGCTGCAGGACAACCCCGCTGCTGACGCCGTCCTGCCGGGGACACACTGGGGGGGATCTCCTTCCCCTTCCCTCTGGCACGGAGGCAAATCCCATCCTCTCCTTGTCCTTCCTCCCCTAGACAAGGAGCTGAGGATGGAGACCAGGGAGGACAAATCCCCATGGCAGAACCTCATGGAAGAGGCCGTTTTGAGTGGCTCCACAGCACAGGAATCCAACAGGGAAGAAAATCCCCAGAGATGCCACAGGAGGAGGTGCTTCAAACCCAGCCCAGGGTGCTCTGAGGATGAAAGACCCACCCTGTGCCAGGAAGGCAGCCGGAGATCCATCCAGGGCTTTGAGCTGGTGGTCCATGAGCAGCTTCAGGATGGGGAGAAGCCCTACAAGTGCTTGGAGTGTGGGAAAAGCTTCAGCTGCAGCAGGAGCGTGATCCGCCACCAGATGATCCACACTGGGGAATGGGCCTGTGAGTGTGAGAAATGTGGGAAGGGCTTCAGCTGCAGTTCTGAACTCATCCGTCACCAGCGCATCCACACTGGGGAGAGGCCCTACGAGTGTCCCAAGTGTGGAAAGAGGTTTCAGACCAGCTCAGATCTCCTCAGGCACCAAAGGATTCACATGGATGTGAGGCCATTCTGCTGCCCCGACTGTGGGGAGGGCTTCAAGGAGAAGTCCATCCTCATCATCCACCAGCGCATCCACACTGGGGAGAGGCCCTACGTGTGTGGGGAATGTGGAAAGAGCTTCAGCCACAACACCAGCCTGATCCGCCACCAGAGGACCCACACTGGGGAACGTCCCTATGAGTGTGGGGAATGTGGGATGACCTTCAGCCAGAGGTCCCAACTGACCATCCACCAGATGATCCACACTGGGGAGAGGCCCTACGAGTGTCCCGAGTGTGGGAAGAGGTTTCAGACCAGCTCCAGTCTCCTCGTGCACCAGCGGATTCACAGAGAGGAGAGGCCCTTCCGCTGCCCCGACTGCAGGAAGGGCTTCAAGCAAAACTCCAACCTCGTCATCCACCGGCGCATCCACACCGGGGAGAGGCCCTATGAGTGTCCCCAGTGTGGGAAGAGATTCACTGACAGGTCTAACTTCACTAAACATCAAAGGAGGCACCAGTAAAGGAAGCCCTGCATGTGCCTCAAGTGCAGGAAGAGCTTCATCTGCTGCTCCAGCTCCATCCCCCACCAGGGGGACCCATGCTGGGCAGAGCCCTGATGACCCACATTCTGCGCTGGGAGGACACTGGGCTGGTGGTCATTTTGTTTCAGTTCCCATTATCTTTTGATTCATCCTCATCCCATTAAAACAGACAAAATAGTTGTCAAAATCAAAATATTTATCAAAGGCATCTAAAGCCTCACTGCCTCACTTTTCACTAGTGCTTCAAGGGAATCTGGGAGTCAAGGAGATACTTGGGAGGATTTGGGGGTTGTGAGGGTATTTGGTGTAGTTGCCTCCATTTCTTGGCACTCAAAGAGATGAGAGGGTTCAATCTGTCACTTCAAAACCACTTAATGCCACTGAAAACTACTCAATCCCACTCCAAAATTATTCAATTCCACAGTCACTCAGGGTGTGATGCCTTAAGTTTTATCTTTTGTGTTTTTCATATTCTGTGCTGCCTAAGTTTGCAGTTTTGAACTTCATATCAAGTGTTAGTGAGCTCTCTTCACAGAGTAGGTAGACAAAACAATTCCTTTTCTAGCTTGATACTAAGGACAGTCGTTACAAGTTTCAGGCCCAAAAGCATAAACGAGGGTGGACTGAAGAGAGAAAACGGGAAGGATGGGATTTTATCATCTGATGCTGTAATTGGACCATGAACTCAAATATGCAGGTGGTCCTAAACTTCTAGAAATGTGAGACCTCGTGATCAGTTGTCCATTTTTGTGGCCGTTTTTGGTCCATCTTGGGTGTAGCCCTGGCCAGGCTCTTGCACTGCCCAAAGTGTATCTTTTAAGGCCTTTTAGTTGACTTTATTCTTAATTCAGTCTGGCCTCTGTTCTAGGTCAGCCTTCCCAAGGCATCAGATGGAATGGAGTTGGAAGGTGACTGAGCGAAGTGGGATGCAAATCCGGAGGGGTGAGATGGGCATTGGGTGGGGCAGAATGGGTGGGATGGAGATTGGTGGAACTTTTTAAAAATTCTTTTTAATTTCTTTTTTCTCTTTCTTGATTCTGCTGCTGTGCTTCTGCACTTCTTTTTACTCCTGGATTTCTCTGCTTCTCTGAGCTGAGCTCCTTGGGGATACTCCCTTATGGGAAGTCCCGCTTATCACAGTCCTCTGGGTCAGGACAAAAACTCCAAAGCCTGTTAGGATCTTGTTGTTTGTGTTTATTAGGATATTATCACAAAACTTGACAGGTCTCTTCAGACTTTCTGTACAAGTTTAATTCACTGCAATCTGGCTCATTTTCTTCTGGTGGTACAGAATGGCCTGATGGCTCACTTTGTCCTGGGGACGCAAAGTGGCCCCAAACTATGCAATTCTTTTATTTCTATACTTATTTTTATCCAATTAACCATAGACACATATATTATTTTTCTTAATTACCCATTGACCCATCACCTGTGTGCTGCATTGCGGCATTTTCTATCCAATCACCTACTATTACCCAAAAACCTCTAGAAGAAGAACATGAAGAAGAAAAAGAAACAACATTCTAAATCCTTTGTCTTGCCTTCTGCTTTCTAAACTATTTTAAACTCTAAACTTTAACTTTTTCACCCATTGACTTAAGAAAACTCTCTAATCTACACACTCGCACTTTTAGCTTTTCTAACTTTAACAGTTGTTTTCATGTATCACCATGAAAACATGCTCATAAATTTCATATTATAATAAATTCAGTGGTTTTCTGGATCTTAGAACTAAGTATCAGAAACAAGTGCACACACTCTGTGTCTCAGACTCCAACAATTGAGGTATGAAATGGGGGAAATAGGACTTGGGAAGGGGGTCTTGATGTCCAGCAGGGGTGGGATGGGTTGGTGTGGGAACTGACAATGGTCAAATAAGAGAATTTTATGCTTCAGGCATTAGCTTGAGTCTTTGTGAAACTAGTTCTCACCCTGGCCTGAGGAATCATAGGGAGGAATCCATACAGTCCTTAGAGAAGGAAAACAGTCTTTGTAGGTGTTGTTTGTCCCCTTGTTGTTTGCTTGCAAGAAACTGTCAAGGGGTGGTGTTCCTAACTGTCCAATGATGGTGATGTGTTGGTTTAATGACCAATGAGAGTTTTACCTTTTCAGACCTTCTCAGAACTGTCTATAAAAGAAGATCTGTAATAATAAAACTTGCTCCCTTCTGCAACCCAGCTAGAGAGTCTGTGACATACTTTGCCATTCCTAATATAGTGTGACATCTGGTAGAACCCAATGTTCCTTGCAGCCAAGAACTGAAGGACATTGGAGTCTCCCTCCTCCTCCTCTGAGAGGTAAGGAGTTTTTCCCTGTGTGCTTCTGGAGAGCTACAGGTGTCAGTGACCCTGGGTAGAGAACCCAGCCAGTGAGTGGGCCTGGAATAGCAAATCTCAATGAAGCTAGAGCTTAGATTCCTGGGATAAGACACTGCGTCTGCATATTGCACTCACTGGGCATTGAGATAAAGGTTTTCCAAAAAGGGAAATCGAAGTTCCGCAGAGGAACAAACTCGTCCTCTCTCTGAATTGAATGTAAGCAGTGATTGGGGACTCGCTCTATCCGAAGGCTTTAAAGCGTTACAGCTGAGGCAAGAGCAGATCAGCCTGGGTGGGTCCTTGTTTGATGGATCCCTGGATAGCCTGGTTCCTGCCAGAACAGCTCGGCCCCTCAAACCGCCTGTGGATGCGGATCTGGGAGACCACGCAGGGGGTCCGCAACCTCTACTTCCAGCAGTGGTAGCAGCAGCAGCAACAACAGCAGCAGCAGCGGAGCACCCCCACTGCGGCCGGCCCGACCTCCTCTCACAGCATGTACCGTGTCCCCCATGCCAGCCCGTCCGGACTTCTGAAGACACCAACTACCTCCGCTGATACAACTTTGTCCTGAAGCTGAGAGAAAGTCAGACAAAATACACTGTAACAAAGGTTTCTCCCCCATGGTCCCTCCCCGTGGGTTTCGGGGGCGAAAATTTTGCCTTCTGAATGTTTTATGCCTTTAACTTTTCCTATGTTTATTGTAAGGATTGCCCGTGTGCTCTCCCTGTGGCGCTGCAGACAGTGCCCCCCCACCACTCTCCAGTGGCGGAAGGGCCGGGGCAGTGGCCGGGCGGGGGTTTACAGACAGCAGCTCGGGGTTCCTGGTCCAGGCTTTCCCCTCTCCTGCCGCACGGCGCAGCAGGCACCGCTGTGATGTTAACACACAGCGCGGCGGGGACTGGGTATGGCTCCCCACTCCCAAAGAGCGGCTCTGCAAAGGGGAACAGCAGTTGGTCTTGGCCTGCCCACCCCCCTCCCCTTTTCTTCTTACGGAATTTCTATTAGACAAGCAACTTTGCTGCACTTCCGCAGATAAAACAAATTGGTCTAAGTTTAAAGTGTCAGCTCTCTAGGATGGTTGCTATTATCTGAGAAGCACTCTAATCCTGACAGAATTTCAAAGGACATCAATTATTACTGGTTCATTTGGTTTTACCCCAGGATTCTTGAGAATCTTGTTTTAAAATTGTATGACGTAGGAGATTCTTTTCCAGTTAAGGTGGGAACTGGCCACGCCTTAGCTCCTTCTGAATAAGAATTACCAACAGGCCCAGATATTTCTGCAGCAAAAATTACGTGAGTACTTTGACTCGGCAATTTGACTTGTAAATATAACAGCTGAATCAATCTTTGGAGTGAACCTGAAACCCTCACCATATAGAGGTGTTCAGGTCTTTTTCACTGGAAAGAAACACTTTAGGTGTTTGCAGTTTCTGGGCTGATCAAATTTATAGAAAAATAATTAATTTGAATAAGGTATATTTATATTAGAAATTTGAAAAATTAATTATCAAATCTAAATGTTGACTGACTAACAACAGTAAAGCCTAATTAATTTCTTAACTTGGGAGAAGATATGCCTGTGTTTTATTATCATCAGGTTCAAGCAGTCACATTGTGGGAAATGAAATTCTAAAGTTATGAGTTGTTAAATTAAGAGTTGGTTGCTGTTAATATTTGACTGATCGATTGTTGGAGTTTTTAGTGCCTTTACCCCTGATTGTTTTCTCCCTGCTTCACCTGTGGTTACATTGTATCCCCTTCCCCTCGAGAGCAACACCACTGCTCCCCAAAATGGCGCCTGAGGCTGCACGCAAATGAGGTTGGACTGAGTGCTGTCAGGAAACAAAAACCCCTAACAACAACAAGCCAAAAGGAAAATAAAGGACCAAAAGAACATATCCTGGTGAACTAAGTGGGAAGACCATCCTCCTACACCATCTGGACCTGCTTAGAAGTGGTCACCATGACCTAAAAAGAACTGTAAAGGACTGACCTGCTGTATTACAAGCTGGTAAAGCAGTTTTCTTAGGGGCTCCTGTGAGGAAGGAAGGCCCAGCTCTGCCTTACTGACAAAGCTGCACGGATTCTCCTGTTCTGCGGTGTCCAGTGGGAGCAGTGGTGGTGTGCATGACCCCTCGGGCTTCCACCCCAGAGCTGTCCTGTTTAATAAAGGCATTTTTAAAAGGAGCTGTTCTCCGGGTCCACTCATAACAACATCAGACACCCATCACCTTCAAGGAGTGAAAAGGAACAGCATAGGTTATGAATACCATAACGTTTGTGGCTAAATCAACAACAGAAGACTGACCACAAAAGAGACAATTATGTGTCTGGAAATTATACAGACAATTTGACAACAAAAGCCCTGTGTCAGCATCATGGTACTGTGTTTACACGGACCTTTTTTTTCAGTTATTCCCTGTTTCAGGATTCAAGAAGACATCTAGTGATGCTAAAGATCATCGTCTTCAGTTGATGGACTTTCCCTGAGTTTCATTTATTTGGACTCTAAAACAAAAATTATTGATTTAAAAAAAAAAAATTATTAATTTTCTATGAGGTAATTTTACCTCAGGTAATATCCCACGTGTTTTTGGTATGCTTGTAGTTACCAAGGGCTGTGGTTTTACTTTGTGGATCATGCAGATCTTTGGGAATCAGATTCATCAAGCAAATTCCTCCATTGATATTACTGTTTTCAATTCAGATTCTCATCATACAGGTATCATTGGCAAAATTGAGCAAGCAATGGTGCCATCCTGCACATCCTGCCATGGGGTCTCTCTAAAACTTACAAGTTAGAAAGCCCGTACAGCTCACTCTGGTATTTTTACCACACTTTCTGCAAAGGTAAAAAGTGTAAGTGCAAATACACAGATTTTCAACAGCTTGGAAAGGGTTTTGGAGATTCAAGTTTAAATATTTAGCCTCTACAGTCTTGCAGCCTTTGTCGGAGTAAACCTTGTTCCTTGAGGAGGTAAGTCATCTCATCAACTATCACATGCCTTTGCAACCATAAAAAAAACCAACCAACCAAACAAAAAAACCCAAAAAACCACCCATGCTGTCTGAATTAATTGCTCATTTTGAAAGTTGTTCTTCCAATATAGCAGGAAGACTTTTAATGGAGCTTTGCTAACAGCTCAGAAAACAAGAAAAGCTGTTGATACCTGCAAGGATGAAACTGACTGTCAAGTGCTAAAAGGTCACAAACCAAGCTTGGCCCACAGTTAATTAGCTCTGAATCTGGTCAATGAATCTGCTTATATAGCAGACATAACCAAATGTTTAATTTTCACTTTTGAAAGAAGTCAATGATGCAACCTTGTTTCATTATTGAAAATTTTTCCTGCACATTCAGAGTCACTCCAATTTACCAGGTTTAACTGACTCCTTGCAAGAATGAACAATAGGACTTGATGGTAATGCATAAAGAACTCGATAGCATGTGCTAGAGAACCTCCCTGACCATTCTAACTCAGTGTCCAATTGAGGTTCCATCTGGTAATCAACAAGTTACTAAAGGGACCTCTGATGCTGTGTTTGTTTTCTTTCCTGCAGGGGCCTAGCAGGAGATTACAAATGCTGCCTTTCT